CTGAGCATGTACTTTGGGGGGTGGGGTTATTGGAAGGTTATAGGGTATTGCACCAAGCAAGTTGTAGCCCATATTTTACAGAGTATTTGTAAGTGAAACTGCATCATTTATTTTCTATTTATAAGCCTCCAAAGTGCTCTCTTGATATCTTTATTCCTGATGCTATAAATAATGGGATTCATGAAAGGTGGAATGATTGAATACATCACTGCAAGCATCAGCCCCATGTCTGAGGAGGACCTAGATGCTCGTCCCAAGTAAGCAATGCTTCCAGTGAAGAAAAATAAGAAAAGGACAATGAGATGGGGAAGGCAAGTGGAGATGGCTTTTTCTCTTCCTTGTACAGAGGGGATCCTCAGCACTGCTTTTAAAATCTGCAGATAGGAAATAATTATGAATCCAAAACATCCTATACCCAACACTGAACAAAATATGACAGCTCCTCCTTCAAAAATGTATGAGTTGGAGCATGAGAGCTGGAGAAGCTGTGGGATTTCACAGAAAAACTGCTTTATGACATTAGAGCAAAAAATGATTCCAAATGTGCAGCTAGTGTGCAAAACAGCATAGAAAAGGCCAATGAGCCACACACTAACTACCATTTAAATGCAGGATACTTTGTTCATAAGTAGCTCATATTGCAGTGGGTTGCAGATGGCAATGTATCGATCATAGGCCATGACTGTCAGGAGGAAGAACTCGGAGGCCGCAAAAAAAACAAAGAAGAAGACCTGAGCCACGCATTCAGAATACGAAATGTGCCTGGTGCCCAGTATGGTGTTAGCTATAGCTTTGGGAATGGTGACTGAGATGTAACCAAGGTCGACAGCAGATAAATTCGCCAGGAAAAAGTACATTGGAGTATGAAGATATTGGTTGAGTGCTACAACATTGATCACCAGCAGATTTCCAGCCAGAGCTGTCAGGTAGATTATGAAAAATGTCACAAAGCATACAATCTGCAGTTCTCGAATTTCAGAGAATTCCAAGAGAAGGAAACCTTTCACAATGCTTTGGTTGAACATTTCCTTACTGTTATTCAATAATGCACCCCTGTCAGAGAAGGGAAGACATAAATGGGATGGTGGTGTCTGGAAATGTATCTCAATAGAGGTTCTACATGCATGTTTTAAAAATTGAACTTTGATTAATTCTGCCAAAATGCAATATTTGACCATGCTTATGAGGACAGTAAATGAGTCAAATGGGTCATGTTGACTTTATTAAGATACACATAATAACTGCAGTAACCCAAAAAAGGAATATATATTTAGGAACTGGTGACATGTAAACACATTTATAGTCACTGTTTGACTTACCAAAAAGCGGAACATTAATAAACAAATTATGTGGTTGGCATCCTTAAAGTATTTTGAAAAACAAAGATTAGCAAGGCAAGGGGTAATATCTAACAGAAGATGTAATGCTGATTAGATTGTGTTTGCAAAAACTGCTGCAGTGGCAACCCAACACCCAGAATGTACTATTTATTTACGTTTCATTTAATTGCATATGACAATATGCATTTAATGGCATATGACAATAGAGCCTACACCAGGGACAGACAATGTGGTGCTCTCCAACTGTTTCTTGGACTCCAGGTGTCAACATTGCTGCCCATTGGCTATGCTGGCTAAGTCTGATGAAAAATAGAGTCCAACAACATAAGGAGGAAACCATACTGGTGATTCCTGCTCTACACGGTTATGATCACAGGTAACGTTACAAATGTTCTAATCAGTATTGCCAACCTGGAGGGCAAGACTTGCCGTCTTCTCTACAGACAAGGTCTTAGTACTTTTACAAAAAAAAAAAAAAATCCCATTAAGGCTGCAACCCTATACCCACTTACCTGGGAGTAAGTCCTGTTGAAATCCATGGGATGGACTTCTGAGCAGAAGTGCACAGGATTGAACAGTGACTAAATCCATGGTGGGCTTCTTTTGTTTGACCTTATCCATACAAAGCATACTTTAACACAGAACCGAGACTCATCTTTAAAAAACACAAAAAAACAGCAGCAAACAAGGATGTAGATAAACATTTGAGAAAAAGATGGTGGTGTGGGACAATAAAAGCAGAATATTTAATACCAATTACCCAGTCATTAGATGTCATCCCTTACAGGAGATTGTTTATAAAGATTCAAGAAGGCATGTAGGCCAGTATTGTTAATATTCCTTTTAAGGAAGGGACTTCCACCCAAAGTCATAGACAAATGTCTGAGTAATTCCACTGGAAGAAATTTAAGTCCAACACCTGACCAAAAAAAAAAAGAACATGATGATGGATGAAAGAATGATTTTAAGAAAAAGAACAACAACATTGTCTATACAATTATAAATAATCCCCAGTGTTCTTTGGCTGTAACTGTTTCTTTATACATTTCTCTATGAGCTAGCTATGTTATTCCAAAACAGGCATTTCCCTGGCCTAATCCCGAAATATCAATTTTTGTGTGCACACCTTTGTCTCACATTGTCAGATGATTTGTCCGTCATCACCACAGTAAATCTGTCCACCGATCACTCTTTCTCACAGTCTGTTGAAGGTCTATCGCTCACATATTGTCTTTTTCCTGTGACCTTCCAGTTGTCTGTGTCTGTATAATCTGCAAAATCCTAGTTATTTAGCTATTCAATCCTCTAGTTCCTCTGAAATGAAAATCTGCAATCATTTGCCGGAAGAGCATGTATCTGGCTCAGTGGTAAAATGACATCCGAAGGACGCTTTTGTTGAAAGCTTTATATGTAGCTTTTCTAAGTTGGCCTCTGGGGATAGGCTGACATGAGTCCAATCAAATATAACAGCAGTTTCTTTGAGGGAAATATAAATACATTTAAACGGCTAGAGAATTAAAGTTAGGGATAGAATTATTGATCTCAAAAAATAAAAATAAAATTATGTAGGGATTAGTAGGGTACAGACCTGGCTCCCATTTTTATTCTTATGGTTCTGCTCCTCAAACTAGAACTAGATGGAAATGTTCCTGAGAAAGTAAAGAGTACAGTCCCCTCCCTCACTGAACAGCTAGCAAGAGTCCCCTATTTCCTGAGACTTTGTGCAGGGCTTCTAGATCACAGGTTGGTATTTCTACACATATTTGAGACCTGACAACTTCTTCTTCCTCCTTACTAGAAATTAAACATTGACAATAATATCTAACTCAGATGGGAGAAATTAAAAGGCAACTGCTACTAAGTAGATTAGGGCAGGGAAGGAAATAGTGGGCCAGGTGAGTTATGTTAAGTCATGGGTAGGCAAACTAAGGCCCGGGTGCCAGATCTGGCCCAATCGCCTTCTGAATCCGGCCCACGGACAGTCTAGGAATTCGCATGTTCTTATGTGAGTAGAATATGTCCTTTTATTTAAAATGCATCTCTGGGTTATTTGTGGGGCATAGGAATTCATTCATTTCCCCCCAAAAAAATATAGTCCGGCCCCCCACAAGGTCTGACGGACTGTGGACCTGCTGAAAAAGTTTGCTGACCCCAGTGTTAAGTCATTTGTTTTTCAATGTAATTTTTTTTAAAAAAATATTTTTTTAACCTCATAATCTTATGAAGGTGAGATACTGTTAGTTGCTGGTTGCTCTGCAGTGCCTTCTGGTGTCACATTTTAATAATGCATCACAAACATTAAAAGGGGAACGTCATGTGGCCATATGATTATCAAACCTTCCTTAACCCTTCCTTAACGTTAACAACCATGAGTGTAGATCTGTCCTATATCTGTTTGGTTGAGTGAGTTATGATACAGTGGATTTTTGGCTCAGACAGATGTTTCTCCACTCAGCCAGGCCACACCAGAGTAAGTCCAGCATAATTTACACTGGTTTATTTCCCTAACACAAGTGACTGTAAGTTATGGAAGATAATGTAACTACTGTGTGGGTTTTTGCATAGTCATTGTGACCTTGACTTAATCTTGCATCAATCACTTGGAACGGGTAGTAAGATGAACCACATCAATACAGTGGTGGAGGAACCCTCTCCAACACCCGGGGCGGTACACTGAGGGGCGGGGCAAACCACCCGGTGGCGTACACGCAACATCCGTACGGATCCCCATATGGACAGCCTGCGAGAGCAGCAGCCCATACGGTCGCCGTGCAAGAGGCAGCCTGTATGAACACCCATATGGATGGTGCACGCGAGTGGCACCCATACTGACTGCACATGCCCTCGGCTGCTCTACAGCTGGGGGGAGGCAGGGGCCATCTTGTCACACACACCCCAGAGTGGTACCCGGGGCGGGCCACCCTCTCCACCCCCCACTTCATACGCCCCTGCATCAATAGAATATTTCTTTCTCAGGAACATTGCACCCAGAATCCTAAGTGAAATGCAATTTTAAAATGAACAGTAGAAATTGGAATTTGGGAGAAAGTTTAAGAAACAGCTCACAACATTAGTCTCATTTTGTTTTTTATTTGCTATAGATTTTATAAATTGTTACTGATAGTTTTAAATGTTATGGTTCAATTTTAAGGGGATACAATGTGGTTCCAATTGGATTAATATTAGTCATATTTTTATCTCCATTGCTGTATTTTCTTAAATGTTCTACACAGCCATAAATGAACAATCACATCCTTAAAGGATAGTCTAAAAATCAGTCAATCATTAAAAGTATTCTTGGGCTTATGCCAGTGGCGTAGCGTGGGTTGTCAGCACCCGGGGCAAGGCAAGTAATTTGCGCCCCCTAACCCGTGGATTTGCGCCCCCTAACCCGTGGATTTGCCCTAACCCCAGATGTTGCACCCGGTGCGGCCGGCCCCCCCTGCACCCCCCATGCTACGCCACTGGCTTATGCTACTTGATCAAGTGGGTGGCACTAAATAAACACTTCAGTAATGTGAATTGTTCACCTTGTGTGAAAAAGGTCCACAGGGCAGGCCAACCAATTGCAGTATTCCAACTTATACTGCCACTCTGTAGAATAATAGAGGTTGTAGTCCACATTTTCTCTGCATAGACAGGATGACATACCACCCACATTTACACAAGAAAACTAAAGAATGAGTTCTTAGAGTGTCTCAAACCCAATAGTTTTAACAGGGAATGTTTTATCTCCTTGTTTCTCATGCTGTAGATTACTGGATTCATCAGTGGCGGAAACATGGAATATATAATGGTAAGTGCCAAGTCCAGATGTGAGGGGGTATTAGAGGTTGGCTTGAGATAAGCAAAACAGCCAGTGAACACAAATATGGAGAAAACAATGAGGTGTGGAAGGCATGTTGAGAAAGCCTTTTGCCTCCCTTCAATAGAAGGGATTTTCAACACTGCAGAGAAGATGTGCACATAGGTGATGATGATGAAGATAAAACAACCTAACCCAATGACAGCACTTACCACAACAATTCCAATTTCAAGTAGGTACAAATCAGAGCAGGTCAGTTTAAGTAACTGTGGGATTTCACAGAAAAACTGATTAACAATATTGGAGCAAAAGGTGGGTGCAAAGGTGCCTCCCGTGTGTAACACTCCATAGAAAAAGCTGACGATCCACACACTAGTAACCATTTGGATGCAGGCCTGCTTATTCATCAACACTTCATATTGCAGTGGGTTGCAGATGGCAATGTACCTATCATATGCCATGACTGTGAGAAGGGAGAAATCAGATGCTAAGAAAAAGAGAAAGAAGAGGACCTGAGCAACACACCCAGAATAGGAAATCTGCCTGGTGTTCATGAGGGAATTGGACATGAATTTAGGGATGATGACTGAAACTTGTCCCAGGTCCTGCATGGCCAAGTTCATCAGGAAGAAGTACATGGGGGTGTGCAGGTGGTGGTCAAAGGCTACTGCAGAGATGATGAGAAGATTCCCTGTGACAGTTGCCAAGTAGAATACTAGGAACAGAAGGAAGTGTAGAATCTGTAGTTCCCGAACCTCAGAGAATTCCAGAAGGAGAAATTCTGAGATTGATGTTTGATTAACTCTGCTTTGCTCTATAAGATGCATGTCGACTGTTGAAGGAAGCAGAAGGAGAGCTGTTAAAATGTAACTATTGTAACTATTGAAGCTACAGTACTTGGACTTAATTTCAAATTACTACTACTACCACTGCATCATCATTATTTCAGAATATAGCACTTTCCAAACAACAGCTATGCTAGTTCCAGTGTACAATCTAAAATATACACAGGGAAGCAAGAGAAAATGTGACTTTTGAATCATGGGTAGGCAGGGGAAGAATACAATATTGTTTCAATTAATTATATTTGTATTAGGTAATTCAATACATCATCATCATCATCATCATCATCATCATCATCATCATTATTATTTTATATATCACCTTTATCTTCCAAGGAGATCAAGGTGGGGTACATGGTCCTCCTTCTCTCCATTTGATCCTCACAACAACCCTGTGAGGTAGGGTAGGCTAAGAGATGGTGACTGGCCCATAGTCACTCAGTGAGCTTCATGGCTGTGTGGGGATTCATCCTTACTCCCCCAGGTAATGGTCCAACACTCTAACCATTATGCCACACTGGCTCTCAATTATTGAGCATTCATCCTGATATGTTTCCTCAATTTTGCAGGGAGGTTTTATAGTATCCCTTGTTTATTTAATATTCATTCTGATTTCCTGGTTCGGAGGTTACTCAACACCATGACAGGCAATTGTTATTTCAAACTTTCCAATGCATTTCCTCATTACTTTTTCTACTACAGAAGTCTTGTTGTGCATGTTTGAACTTGGAAGTGGCTTTTGCTTTGCAACAGCCCGAAATCTAATTTAATTGTGCCACCTGAATTTCTGGCATGTGCCAAAAACCAAAAGAACAGCCCGGCTGGATAAAGTCAAAGGCAAATCTAGTCTAGCATCATATTCTCACAGTGGCCAACCAGAAACCTATGGGAACCCTACAGTAGGACCTGAAAGGAGCTGCACTCTTCTCACTTGTGATTCCCAGCAAATGGTATTTTTGAGGCATACTGACTCCGACAGTCAGAGGGTATAAGTTTCTGTGTGGTGCAAAGAAAATGAATAGCCCTAGAAAAAACCTAGCCCTATGCCTTGTGAATTTAGAAGTCATCCAAGGTGGTCATAACACTGTAAGGGAGTGGAAGACATTTCAAAGGAGAGTGAGAGATGAAAGGAGAGAGGGTTAAACATTCTAAGGCTCAAAAACTCAGTTATTCAACAATATCAAAACACCAAGTAACATTTAACATACACTTTCTTCACTAAGATAGTCCATAATTTCAGAAAATGATATTCTCTGTGTGATTCACACTCACTGTTTTGCATCCACTAGAAATTTGAAAAATCTTACCAAAGTCTGTAGGCTTCCTTTAAAATCATGCCCCTTAAACTTCCTCAAGTGTCTTTGTGAAGGTGATTTTTCCATATTAAGACCAAATTTAATTTTAATACAGCTTTTGTTGGTTGTGGATCTATATTACAGGTTAGGGAGGGGGGAATGTACATACCTAATAGACACTACCTGAACCGATATAGAAAATGAAATGTGACCATACAAAACAAATTTACATTTCTATGAATTTTGCAACACTGTTCTCCAGCCAGCCAAAAACAAGTCATAAAAATTATGTATAGTATGGTAAAGGGCAACTAAAAATGCATCAGTGAGGATTACGGGAAATGTACAAAAATACATTATATTTGGGGAAATTTCTTGTAAAAGGAATGTATTGGGCATAATTGTGTTAAAATGCATATTTTAGGAGGAAAGTGCCTGGAAATATGTATGGATTTTCATCTAGGCTGTTTATTGGGGGAGAGAAACTGATGTGAAACTCCTGCAAACTGAATTTAAAATTTCAGGGAGGGGGAATTAAAATTGAGAGCTCCACCATCTTTTCTAGAGATTACACAACAGATTGTGTTCCTCTGTGATGGGATTATGTCTTTATGTGAAAACAATTTACAGTACTCTGATCTGTGTGAGATTCATTGACATAGAGAGTGTTGAGAAAAATAGTCAATGTAAGTGGAAGGAGAGAGAGAGAGAGAGAGAGAGAGAGAGAGAGATGCACACGAAAGAAACAAATGAATGTACAGTGGTACCTCGGGTTACAGACGCTTCAGGTTACAGACCCCGCTAACGCAGAAATAGTACCTCAGGATAAGAACTTTGCTTCAGAATGAGAACAGAAATTGCGTGGTGGCAGCGCAGAGGCAGTAGGAGGCCCCATTAGCTAAAGTGGTACCTCAGGTTAAGAACAGACCTCCAGAACAAATTTCTTAACCAAGTTCTTAACCCAAGGTACCACTGTAAGAGGAAGGGCAAGGGTATATATTCAAAGTGAGTGAGTGTTCATAGTGAGAGCAACTAAGCATCTCTAAGATAACAAGGGAAAAAAATTAAGGATATAGCAGCTTACTATTTTTTCTTTCCAGATTTCTCTCAGCTTCAAATTGTTTTCTCCTCCAACTAAGTCAGATGACAGTGTATTTCTCCAGCTATACAGTACATGCCATTTTATAAAAGTCATTCTATACACAGCTCTATGGTGATAATAAGAAGCTGTCAATTATGATGTATTAATTTATCTTTTGTGTTGCAGGAGATTTACTGTCATGGGAATCCAGCACTTCTCAGTAGTTGGAGTTTATGGAAACAAAAATAGCTTGTTCTTTTTGATAATATGCTTTTTAAAGACTGTGAAAAATTGGGTTCCTGAGATTTTTATTTATTTATTTATAATTTTTTTGTACTACCCTTTATCCAAGATTCACAGGGTGATTTACAATATAAAGAAACAAAAATGCACATAATTGACCACATGGCGTGGCACACACACACCATTTGAATGGCAATGCCCATTAACTTGGGGTTGGTGAGTCCCTCAAATAATTTTTTTTGGGGGGAGGCAAAGACCCCTCAGTCCCTATACGTTGGCTCCTATGGTATAATCAGTCCCTAATTTCATTTGAGGAATATTGAAGCATGCTGGCACTTCTTTCAACTTTTAGAAGTCAGGATCTGGTCTTTGTTGCGCGTCGAGGTCCCCAAGACACCCCAAATAAGAACACAATGACACTTGATTTTTGTTTAAGGTTTTTGGCATAATTTTGGCCACAACTTTATTAAAAATACAGCAATGTGAGTGGTTGCTTAGGCATTCGTAGCAACTAACTGACCCCGCATGGGAACAGTCTGACATTCACACACCCCGCGAAGTCAGAAAGGGTAAGTCACCTGGGGAGAGAGACGGGACTGGGAACCATGCCTCACCTCTCCCCAAATGCTCCCAGGGGCTCTTGTGTGGCCCTAGCCCCTTGCCAGGGGGTTCGGACAAAAGCATGGCGAGCCCCTGGGTTCCTTTAACAGAAAACCCTTGCAGCAGCAGCATTTTGGAGGGGCAGGCACAGCCAAATCCATACCCCTCCACCAACCAATTCCCAAACCAATGCCTAACTGCAACCTTACAAGTTGTGACGATTTGCAACGCAGTAGGCAAAAGCCAAATGGCACCAGCCAATCAGCCAAATGGACAAAATTCCTACCAGGCCCCTGCCCCAAAGCAGATGACCCCATGACAGGCATAGCAAGGTCAAGCAAACAGCCTAACATTAGGGAGGGAGGGTGATCCGAAGCACGCAGCGAAAGAGGAAGCTCGTCACTGTGTGCAGTGTTTTTAACAAACAGGGCTGTCAATCAATAAATGGCAACATATAAATCTCCCCAGTAACAGCCCGCCCCTGCTTAAAGATGGCCAAACTCTTTTGCCCAGCAGCAGTGAGGTGTCTTGTCAGCCCCCACGGCAACACGTGCTCTCCAGGAAGGAGAACAGGCTTTCCCATGGAACTTGCAAAATGGCAATATGCATGACCTACCTTGTGCCACACAATGTTTGGGGGCATTGGAGGAGAACTTTTACCACAAAACCTTGATATTCTTTTTCTCATAAAGAAACCACAGATATCAAACCTTTCCTGCTCTGCACCCCTCATCTTTAGAGGTTTTCCCTATCATAACCACAATCTACCATTAGGGCTTTGTAGGTCAAAACTAGCACTTTGAATTCAGTCTGTGTTTTTTTTTTGGGGGGGGGGGTTATAGCAAATAAAGCTGCTTCTGGATAGGTGAAGTAGTGATGAATGGATTGCTGCTCTTCAAAAGGTAGGGCGCCACATTCTGTACTTGGTGAAGTTTCTCAAAGCACCATATAAAATGTGCTCCCATTCTCCCCTCTTTGGATTTGCCCCAGAAGGCCATTAGGATAAGTCCTATCTCACCTCCCCCTTTCTATTTTATTCCAAAGAAGTAGGAAGTGACAAGACTGTCCAACGCAACAGGCTCTTGTGAAGAATGGGTTTGTATCACCTCACATACTAGTGACATCTTCCCTCACCATTTTAATACTGATGTTGAGGAAGAGTTATTTGAAATGGGGTTGTACTCCCTTGGAGGAGTGCACCTGGATCCATCTTGGTCATTGGAAGACCAATGACTTCCACGGCTAGGAGTGTCCTTATAACAACTTTAGGTGTTAAGTCAGCTATGGTAACTTCTGGACAGGGATAGCTTGACCACTGGTGTCCATGTAGTGGTAGCCTTCATATTGGATTACAGAAATGTGTTCTATGTGAGGTTGCCCATGAGGTTGACTCAGAACCTTCAGAAAAAATTCTAAACTTGACGGCTCACTGAAGCAGAAATAAACAGCTGCTGAAGGAATTGCTCTTGCTGCAAATTATCTACCAGGCTAAGGTCCTGGTACAGATATGGAAAGACAAAGCCTATGCAGCTGTGGGACACAATGTCCCATTCCTGATGGGTCACTGTGCTCTTTAGAAGAGGGTATCCTGAAGATACCAGCTCATTAGGATACCCATTTCCTATACAATATAGGAAATGGGTCTCTACTGTGAAGACACCTACCTGTGAAGACACTTCTTCCTTTTATATATTAGGTGTCACTTCTATTGTTCTCCAGGACCTGTTCATCCTTCAACAAGCCTTTGGAATTATTATTATTATTTATGAAATTTGTATACCGCTCTTCATCCAAAGCTCTCAGGGTGGTTCACAGGATAAAAATACAAGATAGAAACACAAAATACATAATAAAAACAAGAAGGGAAACAAAACACACCAATACCCTCCCACAAACACATATAAAAGTATATAGGATGTTAATCACCCAAAGACTTGGTTGAAGAGGAACGTGTTCCTGCATTGCATTTCAAATTTATTTTTATATATGGAATCATATTGTCAATGGAGTGGCTGGTTATGCTAAGCCTGTCTGTTCCCAGATAGGGAGCTTCTTGAATGAAAACGCAACTAAGGAATATTCAAAGAAAGCCAAGCCAAAATTGGCTCTGTTCTTTATTTCTGCTGCACTTCAGGTGACAACCCAAAGGTACCACCCCAAACAAGGAAAGTACAAAGTCTTTTTATACATTTCTGTAATTAGCATTTAATTAATAAATTATGCCAAGGCCTGGTACATCCTAACACATGGATACATAGTATTTGTTATCTGTTTAGCCATTGCCAACTTTACACAAACACAAGGTTCATATTTGCGTACAAGGCAAGTTGACAGGGCAAGTCAGCAACCATCAGCCAATACAGTAAACAGAGCTGGCAAACTTTGGTACATTTAAAATCAATCAATCAACAGCAAAACTTCCCATCATTCTATTGCAGACTTGGGTCCCCAAATTTTGCAGTGCAAAGGCATTTCCTTCACAAGTCTGTGATGCACTTTATTCCTGCATTTTACATATGTGTTTTGTTGTATGGTGAAGTAGATTTGAAATGCTTCGTAAGAAACAATTTTTGAAATAATAAATAAATAAATGCATACAGACTTACATACAAATGTGATGCTTTTTTTGCTTTGCAATCAGTTTAATTTAAACTTCAATTTTGCATACATAATTCAATGTCTATGTAAAGATTGATTGGTGCAGCTGAGCTAGTGTAACAGAATGAGCCTGTTTTCATGTAACAAAGGGAATTTTGATTCTGCATTGGTGTGCATGGGGGAATCAGAGCAGGGAGTGACTTGAAGGGTTATCTTGCTCAATACTACACATCCCTGATGGATGAGCATTTAGTCTATACATAAAAACATCTAAGACTCTTGTTCATCACCTTCTGAAAAACATCTGTATGACTTTTGAACAGTTGATACTATTAGGAACGTTCATAATGCGTAATAATAAAAAGTGCTCTTCTAATTTGAATATGTTAGTTCAGTTTTGCCTTGTAAAGCAGTCCTGAGCTGAATATATGTAACTCATGCAAACTTTCCTCATCAGACTTACAGTTTCCTATCATTAGAGTTATATACAGAATTTACATTTACATAATTAGCTGGGAAAGGTATTCATAGAGGAGTGCCTTAAACCCAACAGCTTTGACAGAGCATTTTTAATTTCCTTATTTCTCATGCTGTAGATTACTGGATTCATCAGTGGTGGAACCATGGAATATATCACTGTAAAAGCCAAATCCAGATATGGTGGGCTATTAAATATGGGCTTAAGGTAAGCAAAGTATCCAGTGAAGACAAATAGGGAGCAAACAATGAGATGTGGAAGGCAAGTTGAAAAGGCCTTTTGCCTCCCTGCACTAGAAGGGATTTTCAACACTGAGCTGAATATGTACACATAAGTTACAACGATGAAGATGAAGCACCCTAACGCAATGACTAAACTGAATGCAAGAACTCCAATTTCAAGTAGGTACAAATCAGAGCAAGTCAGTTTAAGTAACTCTGGGACTTCACAGAAAAACTGATTGACCAGATTGGAACAAAAAGGGGGTGCAAACGTGCCCCCAGTATGTAACACTCCATAGAAAAAGCTGATGACCCATACACTAATGATCATTTGGGTACAGGCCTGCCTGTTCATCAACATCTCATACTGTAACGGTTTGCAAATGGCAATGTACCGATCATATGCCATGACTGTAAGGAGAAAGAAATCTGATGCTATGAAGAAGAGAAAAAAGAGTACTTGAGCAACACATCCCAGATTTGAAATGTACCTTGTATTTAAGATGGTATTGGCCATGGATTTCGGCATAATGACTGAAACTGAGCCAAGGTCTTGTAAGGCCAAGTTCATCAGAAAGAAGTACATGGGGGTGTGCAGGTGATGGTCAAAGGCTACTGCAGAGATGATGAGAAGATTTCCTGTAAGTGCTGCCAGGTAAAAAGCAAGGAACACAACAAAGTATAAAATCTGTAGCTCTCGAAGCTCTGAGAATTCTAGAAGAAGAAATCCTGACAGAGAGGACTGATTAACTATGATTTGCTCCATCACAATCATGTTGCTGTGGAAGAAAGCAGAACAAAGTGATTAAAGGGAATTAGAAAAAAGAAAAGTATGTTAAGAAAGAGTCCTGCACTGTCTGCAAAAGAAGATGGTATTGTTCCTGACTTGATTTGCAGTGTCCCTTCTAACTAGTCAACCTATTGCAGTGATAATTTGTGACAACATAGATCAGAACAGATTGTATCATATGATTTTCCTAAAGACTAAAATAATTTAAAAAATCCAAGAATTTCTCTTATGCACTGCATGAGCAGTGAATACCTGTGCTGTCTCTAAGTTTTTCAGCAATAGATAGATGATAGAGATAGATAGATAGATAGATAGATAGATAGATAGATAGATAGATGATGGATAGATAGATAGATAGATAGATGATAGATAGATGATAGATAGATAGATAGATAGATAGATAGATAGATAGATAGATAGATGATAGATAGATAGATAGATGATAGATAGATAGATAGATAGATAGATAGATAGATAGATAGATAGATGATAGATAGATAGATAGATAGATAGATAGATAGATAGATAGATGATAGATAGATGATAGATAGATAAAGATAGATAGATAGATAGATGATAGATAGATAGATAGATAGATAGATAGATAGATAGATGGTGCACCAACCCTGCAAGAAGCGGGTTTAAAAGACTGGAAGAACAATGGAGCAATTTACATTGGAGGAATCCCAACCATGCCAACAATATTAACAAGCAACAAAAATTAGGCTTTGGTCAGAGTTATTGGCATTTTGTGGTACACTGCTATCAAATAATTTTTATTTTTTTTTTGAAGTTTGTAGAGTATCTAGAATAAAAATACAAAATGAGAACATAAAATTATATGAACATAGGGAAGTTTGGACTTGTGACCAGCACAAAGAAAAAAAGTAGCTTGGGGCTGGCATGAATGAAAAGTACAGAAACACAAAAACAGAGAAAACACAGGTTGATGTACTTTGTGTTGTACTAGTCATGAAAAGAGAAAGAGGGTTGCACAAAGAGAGAGTTACAAAGTGACTATATGTGGAAGAGAGAATATGGCAGAGAAATAGAGAGGAGGAGAGCAGGGAGAGAATTGAAGGGATTTATTATTTTCATTGCAAGTGCAATTGAGAAAATGAGTATAAGCAGCTTACTATTATTCTTCATAGATTTCTCTCCACTTCAGATTCTGTTTCATTCCATTGAAATGAAATGACTGCATATCTATGCAGCCATACATGCAATTTTATAAGAATCTTCCTACGCTTGGATCTACTGTGACAATAAACATTTGTCAACATGGGGAGGAGATTTCTTAATAACTCTTCTGTCTTTCTGGAGATTTGCTCCCACAGGAATTAAACACATATTAGAAATAAAGCTTGTTTGCAAAATGCATGTATTAGGCATAATTGTGGGAAAATACAATTTTTAGGAGAAATGTTCATATATCAATCATGTACCAGCTCCATCTGCTACGCAGGCTTAGACTCTAGCTGCCTATAGACTGTTTCACCAGAGTGGTGCATGCTATAGTTATCTCCCACTTGAGCTACTGCAATGTGCTCTACATGGGGTTACCTTTGAAGGTGACTTGGAAAAATACAATTAATGTAGAATGCAGCAGCTAGACTGGTGATTGGGAATGGCCACTGAAACCATATAAAACCGGTCCTGAAAGACCTACATTAGCTCCCAGTACAAAATGCAAAGTGTTGGTGCTGACCTTTAAAGCCCCAAATGGCCTCGGCCCAGTATACCTGAAGGAACGTCTTCACTCCCATCATTCAGCCTGGACACTGAGGTCCAGCACCGAAGGCCTTCTGGCAGTTCCCTCACTGCGAGAACTGGGGTTGCAGGGAACCAGGCAGAGGGCCTTCTCGGTAGTGGCGCCTGCCCTGTGGAATGCCCTCCCATCAGATGTCAAGGAAATAAACAATTATCTGACCTTTAGAAGACATCTGAAGGCAGCCCTGTTTAGGGAAGTTTTTAATGTGTGATGTTTTTTCATGTTTTTAATATTCTGTTGGGAGCCACCCAGAATGGTTGGGGCAACCCAGTCAGATGGCCAGGGTATAAATAATTAATTATTGTTATTTCTGTTTGTCTGGAAGTTCCTGATGCTTTTGCAATGCACCTAGATGGATTTTCTTCACATTTGATAATCTTTTTTGTAAAAAGAACTTTCTGTGCCTATAATAGGTTAAAGTGAGAATGAAACTATCAAAGCAAGTCTCACCTGCATGTCAACTCCACCCGAGTAGTTCTGCAAGGAATTTTGAGTAGAGACATAAATGTGCCTTGTTTTTAGGTGTATATTGTAAGCCCTTGTATAAAATAAAGAACTCACACCTCGAAAGATTTGTTTATTCAAGGATGATATGCATAACTTTAGACAGTCTGTTGCAAAGTCAGCAAGTGCAGGCCACAACCAATCACTGATGCATCCATCCTCTCTAATATAGAGATGAAAGTGATCCTAACCCTCTAGAATGTTATATTATTATTATTATTATTATTATTATTATTATTATTATTATTTAGATGGGAACCATTTCTAGTCTATATAAAAAGTTATTTTCCCATATGTGAAGATCACAGCAGGGTTTGAAGTGTAAGGAAACAGCAGAATATATGTACAAACATGTTAGAGAGAATTAAATTAGATAAGACAGAAGCTTAAAATGCAATCGTATGTAATCTGAATCATAAACATCGATGTTGGGTAAGCGGGAAGTCACTAGTTTTGTTGAATTAGAATATAATTGCTGAGCAACAAATGTAACTTTGGATATGGAAAAAAGAACAAAATACTGTTACAAAAAAGAGGAAGACTGTTGCCTTCCATTCCAATGGAAAAGAAAGATGTTATATCAAGAGCTATACATAGTTCACCAGGGGCTGATTCTTGTATCAAAGGTGCAAGCAGGACAAACACACTGAACCATTAACATGAGCCAGGCAAAAGTCAAGGAAAACACATACACCCCAACATTCCTCTGATGAAAATAGGGACGTTTTTATCTGAGGACTTTTGGAGGGTATGCAACGACAGTCAGGTACAGTGGTGTAAGTGTGGGTTAAAATGTTTCCCATTGCTTTACCTTTCTATGGAAAATTCATTGATTCAACTTACTTATTATAGTCAATGTACCATAACTGAAATACAATAAAATTCAGATTAAGCAGAACAACAACCATAACAATTCTATACCACCCTTCATCCGCGGATCACAGGGCAGTTTGCAATATAAAAACACAAAAATACATAATACAATAACAGACAAAAACAATAACCCCATCCACTTTAAAAGGCCATAAATTGTTTAATTAGCAAAGCCCAAAGTCACTTATGATGGTAGCCAGAGACCAAAGCATGTGGAGAGCTGCCGAACAAATAAGGAAATTTTAACCACTACACCAATTCTCACAATTTGCAATATAAGCAATATAACCCTTCTAGAACAATTCAGAACACTAAGCTAAATCTATTTAGCTGCTTCAAAGTTTCCTCATAGAATTTCCAGTTTCCTATCATTAGTATTATACCGCATACAGAATTTTCCTTCACAAAATAAGACTGGAAATGTTTTTCATAGAGGAGTAACGCAAACGCAATAGCTTTGACAGCGCATTTTTAATCTCCTTATTTCTCATGCTATAGATTACTGGATTCATCAAGGGTGGAACCATGGAATACATCACTGTAAATGCCAAATCCAGATGTAATGAGGCAGGCTTGAAGAAAGCAAAGTATGAAGTAAATACAAATAGGCAGTATACAATGAGATGGGGAAGGCAAGTTGAGAAAGCCTTTTGCCTTCCTTCAGTTGAGGGGATTTTCAGCACCGCAGTGAAAATGTACACATAGGTTATAATGTTGAAGATAAAGCAGCCAATCCCAAAGACAGCACTTATAGCAATAGCTCCTATTTCCACTAGATACAAATCTGTGCAGGCCAGCTTAAGTACTTGTGGGATTTCACAAAAAAATTGATTGACTACATTGGAACAAAAAGGGGATGCAAAGGTTCCTCCCGTGTGTAACACTCCATAGAAAAAGCTGCCGATCCATACACTGCTAATCATTTGAATATAGGCTTGCCTATTCATCAGCATCCCATATTGTAATGGTTTGCAAATGGCAACATACCGATCATATGCCATGACTGTGAGAAGAAAGAAGTCAGATCCCACAAAGAAGACAAAGAAGAATAGTTGTGCAACACACCCAGAGTAGGAAATGTACCTGGTATTCATGAGGGAATTGAGCATGGACTTGGGAATAATGACTGAAACTTGTCCCAGGTCCTGCATGGCCAAGTTCATCAGGAAGAAGTACATGGGGGTGTGCAGGTGGTGGTCAAAGGCTACTGCGGAGATGATGAGAAGATTCCCTGTGACAGTTGCCAAGTACAATACCAGGAATATAATGAAATGTAGAATTTGTAGTTCCCGAACATCTGAGAATTCTAGGAGGAGAAATTCTGAGAAAGATGATTGATTATCCATGCTCTGCTTCTTCACATTCATGTTGCTATGGAAGGAAGCAGAAACCAGCTGTTAAAAGGGGAAGCCCATTTTATTTAGGATTGTTATAATTGTTATTATTTTTCATCCACTTTACTGTTGCCAACTGTAGACCACTGTGTTAAAAAATTATAGCAAATTCATGTAATCCAAGTTACACTTTCGCTTTCTAGTGTGAAAGTATCTGAAAATATCCAGAAAATAGATGCAACACATGCTGAGGTACTTTGTGTTATGCAAGATTTGTGAACAAAGGTAGATAGTTGCTGGAGAGAGTGACTATCTGTGTAGGAGAGAATATGACAGTTATGGAGAAAGAAGAAAGGAAGGAAGTAATGTATTGATTACTTTCATTGTAAGTGCAAGTGAAAAATATAGAATGTTATCTTACTTTTTTCTTCTTCATAGGGTTCTCTCCAGTATGCTTCTCCAGTGAAATTAAATGGCTGCATATTTCTCCACCCATACCTGCA